GTTGCCGATCACTCAGAAAACAGTGCAGTCGCAGGGAATTGAGCAGGGGTGGGGAAGCTGTTTTGGGGCTTGGGGGGGGCCGCTGACCAACAGAAAAATCAGCCGGGGGCTACACACAAGTGAGAAGCAAACTAGAGCAGTGTTTCTTAAACTTTTTAAGACCGAGGAACACCAAACAATAATTTTTTTAAGAGGAACACCAAGACAAAAAAAAGTCAGGGGAAAAAGGTGGGGGAGAGTAATTGAAGGAAAAAAGGGTTGGGGGAAAGTTATCAAGAAAAAAAAAGGTTGACTGCCCCTTTAAGGCAGCCATTTTGAATTCTGTTGTTCTCCGTGGCACACCTCGGACTGCCTGGTATGCCACGGAACACAGTTTAAGAAACACTGCACTAGAGCTTGGGGGGAGGGGGGCAGGCTAGTAGATTTTGTGTGCTTCAGCCCCAATGCTGGGGGGGGAACCCCGAGCCTCAGAGGCCGGGTCCAGGCAAGCCACGGTCACACCCGGCCCCTACCCCTTAGGATCACTACCCCTGGAAAGGAGTCACCCCTATAGGCCTATGCCAGATCACATTCATCCTGGCAGTCCTACAAAGTCTTGAAGAAGGAAGTGTGGGTGTGATTTTGCCCTGGCCTGAGATAGAATCATAGAATCCCAGGACTGGAAGAGACCTCAGGAGGTCATCAAGTCCAGCCCCATGCCCAAGACAGGACCAAACCCAACCTCTAGGGATGGAGATGGGCACCCTTTTTCCAGCGCGAGGGGAGAGACCTGACTTTATAGAACCTGCATTGTACACACTGTGTGTATTGATGGCACATGCACAGCGCATACAATGTGGATACTGTATAAGTCAATTGCAGCATCGCCACCCTGTGGGACCTCTGCTGGCTACGTGCACAGGGCTGGGGAGTGGGGTGCACATGAGTGCGACTGCACGGGGGAGACCAACTTGCTTTTGCGAGGCTTGTCCTTTCTGGCTGGCTCTCCGGCGGCCAGAACGGTTCCTCATTCGTGATGTTCACAACAGCCGCCACCTGCAGGCTGACCCGTAGGGCCACGTTTTCTAAATCTGGGTGTTGATATTTTCCGGTACCCACCTGTAGATCGCTTGGGCCTGGGTGTTAGACTGGGCTGAGCACCCCAGAACACCCATGAACTTAGCACCACTAAAAATCCAGCCCAAGGGTTCTCAATGCAAGCATCTACATGATGAGGCCAGCTATGGAAGAGAGAGAGACCAATTGAGAACTGGCAAAAGTTGGAGTTAAAGACATTGTAGGAACCCAAGGGTAGAGGTTCTTATGATCACAGTACAGGTTTATTTTTTAAAAAAATTAACTGGAACATATTGTTATGGCCTTTGGAAAGAACTTACAAGGCCAAATTTGATCCCTGTTACACCAGTCTAAAATGGAGGTGGTTAATAAGAGGGGAGGGGGTGGAATGATGCAAAATCAAGTGAAAATAGTTGTCCTTTTACAGATTTGAAGAAGGGAACTCATTTGAAAATATGTCCCATTTTGTATTTTGAAAGTGCTTGCTTTCAAACTTATTTACAGGGGGTCCCCGCTATAAGTCGCCCCGGTATACATCCGTTCCACCCTAAAGTCACTGATGTTTGTAGAAACTGATGTGTTCTAAGTCTTCCCATTCCCCACTATAAGTCGTGTGAAACAGTTCCCCCAATTTGCTTAAATGGAAGTCCGCCGCAGGAAAAAAATTCCCCACTTTAAGTTGTTTCGCTGTAAGTCCAAGTTTTTTGGAACGGATCTTGGACTTATAGCGAGGACCCCTTGTACTTACATTTTTCACTTTGTTTTCCCCATAATCCCATTTTTTTTTCTATTATTTCTTTCCCTCTTTTTTCACACCCCTGGCCTCTTTTCCTTTTTTTCCATTTTGCCACTGAGAAAGCATAGGGGAAGAAGGAAAGAAAAGGAAAAATTGTTTAAAATGTTTTGTTTCTCAGGGGTTTTTTTCCCATAAAAGTGGAAAATTTCAATATATATTGGTGAAAATTATTAATATTGAGAAAATGGGGGCGTTTATGTTTAAAAATATTTTGTTTGAAAAATGTAAGCATGCTCTAGAATTAAGTCAGCATAACTTCATTGAACTCAGCATAGTAACTTCAAACTTCCACAGCTGAGAATAGAATTTGGCCCATAAAGTTTGCAAATATACTTACTCTATTTAGGGAGGCCTAGAGAATAGCGCTCTGAAACAGGATTTGGGGGAGCATGGGTCTCTTCTTGGATTTGCCATTAGCCCGTGAGTGACCTTGGGCGGTCATTTCCCTGTTCTGTGCCTCAGTTTCCCCATCTGAAAAAATGGGGATAACAGTATTTACCTCATTGGAGGAGTGTCTTGAGATCCATTGCTGACCAGAGCTATATAAGAACTTGCTATTAATGTTGTGTTAGTATTTATAAAACTCTGTTGGCCTAATCCAAACCCTATTAACATTAGTGGATCCCGTTGGCTTTGACGGGTTTTGAATCAAGTTTACAAGGTGTGTCTCCAGTGCAGGTGGATGTGAGTTTCTCAGCCCCCGATGCACTAAAAACAGCAGTGTAGACATTATAGTTCGGCATCAGCTTCTGACTTATGACTTCACTGGGTCTGCACGTTCGAGTGCTGGAACTTGTTTTGTCAGATCCATCGGACACGCATCTGGCAACGTGAGTTGTGGCCCACGACAGCCGATGGCCAAATAACTTCTTGTTTGAAGTTAAGCACATACATAAGGACTTTCCTAACTCTTTGTTTGAAGTTAAGCACATACATAAGGACTTTCCTAGGCTGGCCCCACAAACCATAGAATCTACACAGAGGTTATAATTACTAATGATCACCATCCTCTTTATTTTCTGAATGGGGTTACTGTACTACTGTTTTTAGAAATTATTGTAGGCCAGGCCTACATTTTCAGGGATGTCCATGGGGGATTTTGATGCAAGAAGAAAGCAGAACTGGACTTAGAAGAAAAGATGTATTTAATTTTTCAGTATTTTCTTAGCTCTTATAGACAAAAATTAATGCCAGGAGTAAATCCAGTGAAATAAGCATGGTTACACCAGAGATAAAATTGGTCCTGAGGCTTTACTTATTTCCCCAGAGTTGCCTTAGCTTTAGGTCATTCATGTGGCGGGCTTCTTACAATGGAAGAAACTTTTTCTCCAGCCCAGTTGAGGAAAAATTATTTCTTTGATCAAACTGGTGATCAGAAATGATGGGTAAAATGTCAAGATGCATTCAATTAGAGGAAGGACCTCTGGCAATGTGAATGACTTGTCCATCAAAATCCCCCAGCTCCCTAGCCTCCCTGGTTAACATTGTCTCTAGAACTGGCCAAAACTGGACATTTCCGTCTCTGGGGAAATGCAGAAATGTTGCACATTTTTGTCCAAAATCAAGCCCAAAAAGTCAAAAACTCAGATTTCTGGCAAATTCAAAAATTCAAAACTATTTTGTTGTGATTCAGTATTATATTACTAGAAAAGTCAGCCCAAAAATGCGGAGAGAAGTTTTGATAATTTCAATATGTTCCTGCAATATGGTTCAATTTTTATTTTGGGGGGGTTGAATCAGCATGTTCCAACTGGAAACTGTTCCACTGGAAAGTTTTCAACCGGCTCTACTTATCTCTTTGGTCTGGAGATCAGCCTGGAAATATCACAAAGGTGGTCTCTTCCGTGACATTTCTGCTGAATCCTGTTTCAGCCAATCCCTAGGGATTGGCTAGTCGAGAGGGCTCCGTGAACTTTGTGGCCACATACACTCTAGTGCCTTCAGGCGACCTATAACCCAAAACGGTAGTACAAGCACTCTCCCCAACTCCCTGCTAGAATCCAGTCCGACTCTGATGCCAAAGGGCTATGAACGAAAATGAATATCCAAACTGGTCTGCTCTACTCGGCCCTGGTCTACATTTTACGTCAAACTAACCCTCGAATTAATACGCTGCACATCCACACTACCAAACCTGTTCTTTTGAAATCTGCACTCCTGCTTTCCTCAAGGAATAATGCTTATTTCAAAATAGCGGGAGTTTGGACGCTCTGGTGCCGCTATTTCAAAATAACGACTCCCTAGAGCAGTTCCAACCAATGACTCCCCAGTGGGCTGAAAGTGGAGGTAACATGTCCATATGAATGGAGCCTGCCTCGGACTCGTTTTGAGGCTTCCCCGTAGTGAAGACACGCTAGTTCGATGTTGTTAAATCGAGAGTTATTAAGTTAATTTAAGAAATCGTTTCCTCGTGTAGACATGCCCTTGGAGAGTTAACAGATTGAGGCAACTTACCAGCTTCTCAAACTTTTGAGAAGTTCTCCGGAGCTCAGAAGCAGTGGAAAGTAGAGTGTTTGGGGGGATTGCAATCTTTGTATGCACCTGATGGCTATGTAAAGGGTAGGATACTTTCTATCCAAGAGAGGTTGCAAATCAGGAGGCTTGAGTTCTGCTCCCGTTTCTGCCCTGCTACATGACCCTTGGTCAGTCTCTCATCTCCTACTATTTGGGGTAGCTGAAGCAAACCTGCATTTTGCTTCAGCTACCCCAGACTAACATGGCTACATCTCTATCACTCTCCTACTATTTGTCCTTCTTGCCAAGTTAGATGGTGATCCTCCCAGGAGGGGGCTGTCATCTCTTATGAAATGGAATCAGAATCTCAGTTAAGATCTCAAGCAAGTTCATTGCTCCTGTAATATAAATAGTAATAGTCTTCAGTCATGCTTGTCTCTGGATCCATACTTTCCCAGAACTTCGATTTGGTGTTCTGAATAGGACCAACACATAGAATATAGGTCCGTGGCTCACACCAGCTCTGTGGTTCCCTGAAGTTGGTCGTGAAGCCAGGCCCTTAGCCTCCAAACTATCTTTGAACCATGGGGAAGTCTTCTAAATTCCTTCCCTCGTGTTCGCTCCCTGCCGTTGGGTTGCAGTGACGGAGCGTGCTATACGCTGTATTTACTGATGAGTACTTTCTTGTTTGCAGGACTTCCGGCTGTGATTGTCACCGCGTGGGCCAGCGTAAGGGCCACTCTAGCAGACACAGAGTAAGTATGGTTGGATTTTGTGCTGTTTTCCTCTTGTTTTGCTGTTATGTCTCAGCTGCATTTTTGGCACTGAGAGATCTGTGGATGAATTACAGACCCCAGGGAAAAGCACTAGATAGAGTTGCAAATCTGAAGCACTCGTACAATGCAGGCAGGAAATGCACTGAGCCGGGGAAGAAATTCTCTACTTCTGTCGTAACTCTCCTGGCTTGTCTTTAGTTTTAAATAATTTAACCAATCTGAGGCCACCTACAACTTCACAGCTGGCACGTTGGGACCACTTGGAAGTCGGCATCAAGCTCAGAGACAGAAGCGTGATTCTCCCACTCCACAAGCACAGACCTCTATCCCTTGAGCTGAAAAAGAATCTTCCCTTTGCTTGTGCATTATAGGGCTTATGACACACATCTGAGTAGTTCCATTTCCGTCCAGCAGAGATCAGTACTGTGCTTTCACTCACTTCTCAGCTCCTTTTCCTCTTTACACAAGTTTGGAGACACCACATCACTTTTTCTGGTTCCTGGCATGGGGGTTACGTCTTGGAGTTTTTAATCTTCTCATCTTACAACTTCTCTTGACAGTCTTTCTGTCATTGCTTCAATCTTCCTCACCCTTCCTCCTATGCTTTCTTTGCTAGTCATTTGCCTCCCATTCTTATCAGGTGGCCAGGCCCTCCCAGATGTGTGCTGTCTCCCCTATCACCGAGTCCCAAATGCGTCTTTCCCCTAATTTCTTCCACTCTGTAACTCTCCACTTGCTTGCTGGTCTCCTCATCATACTACTGTCTACTACCTGTATCTTCCGTTCTTCTGCCTTTGTAAGCCATGCCGTTTCCAACCCAGAGAGCAAGCAAGGACACACGCATGCAGCGCTTGCTTTTCCTTTTAGTTTGTTACTTAACAGCCAGGCTCACAAGACTCCTGCCATCTTTTTCTGTACTGCCCATGCACAATGGGGTCTTCTATTCAGTTCCCCGGTGGCACTAGATGTGTTTCCCACGTACGCAGCTTTCTTCTGAGTCAGCCTTTCTCTTTACCTCCTCTTCCCCCTTTCCTCCCTGCATCACTGTCGTCTGCCACCAGGGCCGGATTAAGGGGGGGACTAGCCGGGCAGCTTCCCAGGGCCACAACCTATTGGGGGCACCTGATGGCAGCTGTAAGGTGTGCGGCGTGCCAGGGGGTGGGGTCATGCATGTGCCGTGCACCCAGGGGCGGAGCTGCGCATGCGTCACGCGCCCGCTGCCCGGGGCGCAGGAATGGCTCCAGCTGGCCCTGTCTGCCACATGTTTATCTGTGTCTTCAGCCAAAGATTTGGGTGGGTCTTCAACCCCTTCTGATGCCACACTTCCCAATTCCTCTTTGCTGTCAGGCAAAAGATCCAGATCATCAGTCACAGAAGCATCGAATCCTAGGGCTGAAAGAGACCTCAGGAGGTCATCGAGTCTAGCCCCCTGCTCAAAAGGTTCCCTAGGGAGTGGGTGGCATCTCCATCCCTAAAGGTTCTGAAGTCCCGGCTTGACCAAGCCCTGGCTGGGATGATTGAGTTGGGATTGGTCCTGCTTTGGGTAGGGGGTTGGACTCGGTGACCTCTGAGGTCTCTTCCATCCCTGGGAGTCCATGAGTCTATCTGTAGAATAGTAATAGAGATGTAAGCGTGTTAGTCTGGTCTAGCTGAAACAAAACTTTTGCACGAGTCTATCAGTCTATGATCTTAGAGACACAGGGCTGAAACGGACCTTGGAAGGGTCACTTTCTCCATGCACCCCTGTGCTGAGAATTAGGCATACCTAGATTATGTTCGCCTAGCCAGCCCAAATCCCACAATGCAGCTACTCGACACTCGGCGCCCCCTCGTCCCCAGCCCATTGCTGACTTCAGTGCGCGCAAAACAGGCTTCGCACCAACTTCTGAAATGTGTCACCTGTTCAGGCAATGCCTCTCTGGGCCCCGGGTGCAGGGTGGCTGTAGTCCTAGATGCAATAACGACCGGTTTTCAAATGGAACCGAACCTGATCTCCTGCTGTGCAGCATCGTTCGTGTTCATCATACACGACTAAAACCCGGCTACATCTGTGTTCAGTAGCCTGCAGGCAAAGGGTGACCTCCCAGTACACATGACTTTGTGCATGGTAGAGAACAACATGACCCTTGTCGCTCGGATGTTGGACACAGGCAAACACTCCTCCATGTCAAGGAGCAGTTCCTTTTTATTCCCTCTCCTCAAACCCCTGCACCAAGCAGAGGCTGGCTGGCTGATACCCACAGAGGGCAATGGGCCCATTCTTGTCTAGATTACTGGAGAACATCCAGTCCACTAAGTGGCCTTTGAAATATCTTTGGAGGCCTTGGTTCAGTTTGCAGTGGAGAGGTGACCACATCAGGAACCCCTCAATGAGTGCCCTTCCCCTTATTAGCAGCTGCTGAAATAAGAAGCTAGGGATTGGCTAGAACCGTGGTCCCCAACACGGTGCCCGCAGGGCCATTTGTATGTGCCTGCCAAGTGCTCGGGGCTGGCCTGGCACTGGGCACATGGCGCACGGTGAGCTTGGTTCAGTTTGCAGTGGAGAGGTGACCACATCAGGAACCCCTCAATGAGTGCCCTTCCCCTTATTAGCAGCTGCTGAAATAAGAAGCTAGGGATTGGCTAGAACCGTGGTCCCCAACACGGTGCCCGCAGGGCCATTTGTATGTGCCTGCCAAGTGCTCGGGGCTGGCCTGGCACTGGGCACATGGCGCACGGTGAGCGCCAGCCCTGGGAGTGCTGCGAATTGGCTGCCCGCGCTCTGGGCGCGCGGCGCTTGAAAGAGGCGTCAGCCCTGAGCGCGCAGCACTTGGAGGATGGGGCGCCGGCCCCGGGCGCGTGGCGCTTGGAGGGGGGGCGCTGGCCCCGG